ACGCACACACACACACGCATACACACACACACACACACACACGCCTCCATTTTTGTATCTGGTGAATCTGACAAACTCCACCATTTATTAACTGTGAACAACAGGGCGACAAAATTAAATTGTCGCCGCTCTATAAAGTCAAATTAGAGTGAGCCGAGCTGTAGCAGGCGTGAACCCCGTCTTTGTCACATTAGCAGACCCGAGTCAAAGTTTGTGCCCGGCCAATTACCTGCTCCAGTCGCCGTGATCGCTAATTGGCCAGTCAGTTTACATTGCTGCCGCCTCGCTGATCATACGTCCAGCCCCGTAGTGCTGATCACGCCGGCACCACAGCCCCGCCGATCACACACACACACGTTTATACATACATACATGCGTGCAAACATGGAGGTGATGCATACATACACACACGTTCATACATATATACGTACGTGCAGGCACGAGAATTGATGCTCACACACACACACACACACACACATATATATATAGCATCTATTGCTATCTATACCACACACACACATATATATATATACATCTATTATATACCACACACACACACACACACACACACACACACACACACACACACACACACACACACACACACACACACACACACACACCCCGCCCTTCTCACCTGCCGTCGCACAGAATTATCTGGATGAATGTTTAATTGCGTTTTGCAAAGAGAAAACTCATTGTGTGTGACGCGTCGCCGGCGAGGTGTAGTGACGGTGATGATGGTGCTGCTGGTGGTGGGGGGGAAGGAAGGAGGTAAAGGTGTCCTGACGATGATGATAATGGCGCTGATGTCTATAGTGGCGGTGGGAGGTGAGAAGGAGAATTGAGAATGAGAAACTAGAATAAACAGTATTCGGCGCGCATCGTTGTTGTCGTGTGCAATAAGGACGTTTTTAATTGGGTCGCCGGAACATTATTCGGCCGGTAATGACTCTTGCGCCCGCCTCCGCTTGTCCAGTTAGGCTCACTGTCTGTGTGTATAAGTGGTTGACTCTCTGGATGAGTGGCTGTCTGGATGAGTGGCTGTCTGGATGAGTGGCTGGCTGTCTGGATGAGTGGCTGACTGTGTGGATGAATGGCTGTCTGGATGAGTGGCTGACTGTGTGGATGAATGGCTGGCTGTCTGGATGAATGGCTGGCTGTGTGGATGAATGGCTGTCTGGATGAGTGGCTGACTGTATGGATGAGTAACTGGTTGTCTGAATAAGAGACTAGGTGCATGGATGTCTGGATGAACAACTAACTGGATGAGTAGGTGGGTGTCTGGTGGTGAAGTGGTTAGCCTACTCACCTCCCAAACAAGTGAGCACGGGTTCGATTTCCGCCTGGTTAACTGCCTGCCTGACTGTATAGTACCGTGTGTTTGTATCCCCGACGATCGAATTGGCGTATGTATGTGTGTATGTGTGTATGTGAGATGTGTGGTTTAGTGGGTAGTATACTCGCTTCGCATGCTAGTGGTCCTGGGTTCGATTTCTAGCCTAGGTAGTTGGACAGATGAGTGTTTAGTGCGCGCGCGTGTGTGTGTGTGAGGACGCAGGGGAGTGGAAGAGAAAGAAGAAAAGGAAAAAACAATACCCTTCCTTCCCTTCTCCTTCCTTTCCCTTATTCCTCTCCCTTATTCCTCTTCCCTCCCTTCCACTCCCTTCCTCCCTCTTATCCCCCCCCCCTCCACACAGACCACTAAGGGCCTCGTCTCCGCCACATTGCAACGTTAATAATCATTGTTATAGTCATCCCTCTGTCAGACCTGAGGAGATTATACACGTTTTCTTACTCTTGGGTGGTGGGAGGCAATGTGGGGAGGGCGGGTGGGAGGCAATGTGGGAGGGGGTGGTGGGAGGGCAATGTGGGAGGGTGGTGGGAGGAGCAATGTGGAGGGCAATGTGTAGGAGGGTGAACAGGAGCAATGTGGGAGGGGTGGTGGGAGACAATGTGTGGGAGGGGTGGTGGGAGGGCAGCTGTGGGAGGGGTGGTGGGAGGCAATGTGGGAGGGGTGGTGGGAGGGCAGTGGGAGGGCAATGTGGGAGGGAAGTGGTGGATGGGAAGAGTTAGCTGAGGATTAGATGATGGAACGGCTCAAGAAAACACACGATGGAGGTTTTTATTTCTTTCCTCTACATTTTTCTTCAGTAATCGCAGAATATAATTGTAGGATGGAAGGGCTTAACTGGGATAGATGGTTGTGGAATGGATAGAGGAATGGACAAAAGGCATTATAGTCTGTGTTATTTGGTGGTTTTATGTAATGGAAGAGATAATACGGAAGGGGAGGTGTAAGATGTGGGAGAGGTGAGGGAGTATCAGGGAAAGGAGGAAGAGGTGGTGGAGAAGGAGGAGGAGGAAGGCCTAGCTAAGGAGGGATAAGCAGGAAGAAGGTGTTTTAACGTCTTCCTGTTTAGCTCTCTCTCTCTCTCTCTCTCTCTCTCTCTCTCTCTCTCTCTCTCTTGTCATTGGTTAAAAGAAAGAGAGAGAGAGAGAGAGTTTTGTCAAGTTATGGCCACTGGACATAAAGCCTCCTGTCACCGCTGGACACCTGATTCCGTATCTTAGTTTTGTCCAACACATTTTGAACCCTTTTAAATGTGTCCGATAGATGCTGAACCTGTTGAAATATGTCCGATAGATTCTGAATCCTTTTAAATATGTCCGGTAGATTACAATAGATTCTGAACCTTTCCCATTTTTATTAATAGGGTTTAGTTTACTTATTATTCCTATTAAACCTTCGAGTTTTTCACTAATGGGTTTTAATCCTCAACTATTTTCTGGGGTTCTAAATTGTCCTTATTTTTCCTGTGATGGATTTTGTTAATATTTTTAAACTTTCATAATATTTTCCTATTTTACATTACTATAATATAAACTTTCCTATTTTTACTACTATAATATAAACTTTCCTATTTTTACTACTATAATATAAACTTTCCTATTTTTACTACTATAATATAAACTTTCCTATTTTTACTACTATAATATAAACTTTCCTATTTTTACATTAATATATGCTTTCCTATTATTTACGTTAGTATTATATAAAGTTTCCTATTTTTACAACTATTATATAAACTTTCCTATTTTACATTACTAGTATATAAACTTTCCTATTTTCCAACAATATATTATAAACGTTCCTATTTTCAACAATAAGCTTTAAACCTCCCAATTTTCCTTATAATAGGACCTAATCCTTCCTATTTTCTCTCATAGATTTAGAACCTCCCTATTTCACTCCTATAATCAGCAAGGAAGGTTCAGAATCCAATTTAAGCTACAAGGAAAATTTTTATTGAAATTTTTGTACTTGTTGCTAATTTTTTACCCTATTTAAGACCCTATTTTGATGAGCAGTCTTTGTGTTCTATTTTTAATTTGTTTTATTATTATTATATTTTATTATTATTGTTATTATTATCATTATTATTTTATTATTATTATTATTATTATTTTATTATTATTATTATTATTATTTTATTATTATTATTATTATTATTATTTTATTATTATTATTATTATTATTATTATTATTATTATTATTTTATTATTATTATTACCGTATTATTATTATTGTTATTATTATTGTTATTATTATCATTATTATTATTATTATTATTTTATTATTATTATTATTTTATTATTATTATTATTTTATTATTTTATTATTATTATTATTTTATTATTATTATTATTATTATTATTATTATTATTATTATTATTATTAATACGTGACTCATATTCTTCCTCACTTTAATTATCATTGTCTTTCGACCTTTATTTTATTTTATTTAACTTCGAAATTATTTTGTTCAATTAAATTTCAATTTCAATTGTTTATTCCATGATAGAGGAAGCGGGATCCTAGTGCTGTCACTAGGTACCCCTGTACAATGACACCAGAAGCATCTGGCAAGTGTGACAAGTATATACAGTATAAATATTATAAGGGGGCTTACTAAAGCCTAAGGAAGGAAGGATATTCCTTTAACACATAATCAATGTTATTTACAAAATATCTGGCCAGTATGGGGAGGATCATCGTCAGGGGGTCGTGGAGTGGTGGTCCAGCAGGCGTCACGGAAGAGTTGTGTGTGGGGAATTATTTTGTTTTGGAGAAAATTGATTCGAAAATTAGTTCAAAAATTGAGTTCGAAGCTTTTCCCAATCTTTAATATTGAATCTTTTTAGGTTCTCAAATTTGGGGAGTTTCTTGACAATAGCTTTTAAAATTTCACGTATATTAGTGACTTTGGGTTCTAAAACTCTACCTTAATCTGATCTGGGTTCTATAAGGTCATCTATTTGTGTGACTCTGGGTTCTAAATCAAAATACTGAACCCACTTGTGAATCTTAAATTCTGTGGGTATGTTAAAGATTCTAAATTTGGTTTCTAAGGTGTTAAAATATGATCCTCCTTATTTTTACGTCTACTAAGGGGTTCTAAACCTTATTTTTCTTGTGTTTTTTGCGTCTATTTTATATTTGAACCTTTTTTCGTCTGGTTGGGTTCTGTTTCGGGGCTTCGATGTTAAGGGTTAAATTATGTTTTTCTTGAACCTCTGGCCCTATTTTTTGAAGGTTATTTGCCTATTTCTAGAAGCTGAAGGTTCCTATTTTAACTGAACCCTATTTATTATTCTATTTGCGTATTAAAAATGCTGAATCTTACCTATTTTAAACTGATCTTATTTTAATGGTTTGTGCCCTATTTTGGAAACTATTTTTTGGCTTCTTATTAGATCTTGAACCTCTATTTTAAGGTTCCTATTTTAATCTGACTAGCTTGAGGTTTTTTGACAATTTTTTGAAGTCTGAAATAAGTGTGTGTGTGTGTGTGTGTGTGTGTGTGTGTGTGTGTGTGTGTGTGTGGTGTGTGTGTGTGTGTGTGTGGGTGTGTGTGTGTGGTGTGTGTGTGTGTGTGTGTGTGTGTGTGTGTGTCCCCTCCGCCATCACTAACCACGTCATCCTCCTTGCCTCACAGGTGTGGTTCAAGAATCGTCGTGCAAAATGGCGGAAACAGAAGCGCGAGGAACAAGAACGACTGAGACGACTACGGGACGACTCCACCACGACTCCTCAGCCCAGCGTCGCCCACGACCCCGCCCACGCCCACCACCACGCCCCCGACGATGACGTCCGCGACCCAGATCTGAGCAGTGATGAGGACGGGCCTCACGACGCCCTCAGGAGCTCCGCGACCGACGGCACCAAGCTGTCGTCTTCAGGATCGTCGCCGCCGAAGTCGCTGCAGCAGGAGGGAAGTAACGACCCCAGCGGCGTGCCTCAAGGGCTTCCGTTCTTCTCGCCGGCCAAGATGGCGGCGGTGGAGGCGGAGAGCAAGAGGATGGAGAGCCTCCCGTCCCCACACCGCCCGTCCCACGCCTACCAGGAGCTGCCCGTCACCACCGCGCCCGCCCCTGCGTCCTCGCACGCCCTCGCTGGAAGTCTGGAGGCCGCCGCGCCCTCCCTGGCCCAGCAGGCGTTTCTCCTGGCCGCTGAGGATCTCCACGCGGCCAAGAGGAGACGAGTTTCGGCCGAGTGTTCCGAGATAGAGCTGACGTAACTTGTGACGCCTCACCGTCGACCAGCGTCACCCTTGACGGTCAGCGTCACCCCCTGCAGCGCTCGGCCAGCGTCACCCCCTGCAGCGCTCGGCCTGCGTCACCCCCTGCAGCGCTCGGCCAGCGTCACCCCCTGCAGCGCTCGGCCAGCGTCACCCCCTGCAGCGCTCGGCCAGCGTCACCCCTGCAGCGCTCGGCCAGCGTTCATCCCCCGCTCGGCCAGCGTCATCCCCTGCTCGGCCAGCGTCACCCCTGCTCGGCCAGCGTCACCCTTCGCTCGGCCAGCGTCACCCCTGCAGCGCTTCCGGGCCAGCGTCACCCCTGCTCGGCCAGCGTCATCCCCGCTCCGGCCAGCGTCACTCCCCCGCTCGGCCAGCGTCACCCCCTGCCCGGCCAGCGTCACTCTTTGCAGCGCCTGGCCAGCGTCACTCCCTGCCTGGCCAGCGGCACCCTTTGTCGGTCATCATCATCGTCACCCTGCAGCGCACGCCGGCTAGCGTCATCTCCCTTGCCTGGCCAGCGTCGCCGCCACCTGCCTGGTCAGCGTCAATTTCTGCTCGGCCAGCGTCATCCCTGTCGGCCAGCGCGTCACTACCTGCTCGGCCAGCGTCACTTCCTGCTCGGCCAGCGTCACCCCTGCAGCGCTCGGCCAGCGTCACCCCCTGCTCGGCCAGCGTCACCCTTGCAGCGCTCGGCCAGCGTCACCCCCTGCTCGGCCACAGCTGTACATATGGCCACTTTTCGGTAGACTAGTCATGTAAACACAACGGTGACGTATAGTGTACCTACTGTGTTCCTGTATGTATGAATATTATATGTAGAATTATATATTGTGTACGTGTGAATTTTTCTCTTTATGTATGTATGTATGTATACATTGTGTATCTACAGTGTGTGTTCATTCTTCATGTGAACTTTTAGTACCTTATTGTGTGTGTGTGTGTGTGTGTGTGTACTCATGTTCGTACTGATGAATTAATTACATACAAGAGGGTGTGTCCGTTACTAGTGATGTGTACACGCCCTGTATACCGCGTTGGCTATCATGTGTGCGTTACTGTGTGTGTGTCATGTCGTCAGCTTGTATATAAACCAACTCATCGCTTCGTCGAAACTAAGAACGAAAGAAATTTATGTTTTTGTAAATTAAAAAGAAAATTTTTTGAAAAAAATAGTTATGTAAATTAGAAATAAGATAATTTTAAAGTTTGTGTAAATTATGAATAAAAGGTGACAAAAAGGTTATGGTGTAAATTATATTGAAAAAAAAACTTCGATTGTGTAAATGATAATTTAAAAAAATCAATGACATTATTTAGTACTGTAAATCAGAATGAAAATGACTGGAAAATAAGGCACCTGAATATTGTAAATTCCAATGAAAATCAAGAACATATTTACAGTTGTGTAAATCAAGAACCAAATAACAACACGAATAAGAAAATAAATTCTACTAAGAAATCAAATTAAGAAATAAATAATTTATTCTTCAGACGATAACCACATCAGATAAACCAATAATAATAAAGCAGGTCTGTGTGTGTGTGTAACTCATGACAAATATATAGAGAGTGAGACTAACTTTAGGAACATATTGTAAATCTACTTAATGTTGCATGGCGTCCCTTTTGTTCACCACGTGTAGATAATGCTATACCACAAATATAACTTATGGTGCCAATTGGTGTTTTCTTGTGTGTGTGTCCTGAAGGGGGGGGAGGAGGTCATTTGGTTGGTTTTTCTTTCGTCTTATTTATTTATCTCTCTCTCTCTCTCTCTCTCTCTCTCTCTCTCTCTCTCTCTCTCTCTCTCTCTCAAAATATAAACTCAAGTCTATAATCTGATGGAATAAATATTTTCAAGTGCCAGCGCGGACAATCACCATCGCCTGGCGTTCATTCTCTCAATCCCTCCGTGATTTTTTTACCGCGGCGACGCCAGACGAACTTCCGCTCGTCTTTTTCCTGTGCTGGTCTTCATGTGTGGCGATAATCTGATAATTTTTTTGTTATATTTGATTTAATTGAACACGATTTTTGGTTAGAATTATTAAATGTTCTTGATATAATTGGAAGAACGTGAATATCTTAAAATTTTGTTCTTTTATAACATATGAAGAACATTAATTAGAAGTTGTTTATATGTTGTATATTTTGTTCAGTATAACACTTTAATGTTCTAGAACAAAAGATATATATTAATGTTATTGTTCACTCATTAAACATCAAATATGTGTTATAACTTTTTGTTCATTGTTCTTCTGACGTATTGATACAACCTGAAGAACAGTACCTACTCTTGTTCATTTTAATGTACAGTGAACTTGAGGAAAAGTTATTGATTTTATTATTAGTGTTCTTGTATAAATTGAAGAACAGAAGAACACTGGTTGAAATTAATGTTCAGTTCATTATGACTTGGGTAATACACTTAGAAATATTAAAGACACTTAAATCAATACACTTATGATATTAAAGACACTTAAGTCAATACACTTAGAAATATTAAACACACTTAACACAATACACTTATAAATATTAAACACTTAACACAATACACTTATAAATATTAAACACTTAACACAATACACTTATAAATATTAAACACTTAACACAATACACTTATAAATG